GAGAGAGAGAGAGATGTCTGACTCTTCAGACTTGCCAAACGTCAGCCGACTTCGTCCATTCGACCATCCTAAATTTATCTAATCTTTCAATATCTATAATATGCGGCGGGCGATCCAATAGTCAATACGGTTTTTTTATTTTTGTTCAAATTCAAGGAGGATTCAAGGCAGAGGCCGGAGAGTCAAAATATACCATGTCCGGGGGCCTGGGCTCGGTTATTAACTTATTATAAACTATTTCAGATTGGATTTTAGAATTTAAGCTGATACGTATGCAGTAAGCCGTATCCGTATAAGTTGGTGATGGAAAGTGTGTTATAGCATTTAGAGTAGGCTTCTGATAATTGAACAAGAAGGCTTTGCCGGTATGGTATTGGTTATAGTACAGAAATCTGAAATTATCAGCTACAGCATTTTGACGTTCCCATAAAATGTACTGCATTTAAAACCCCTCGTTAGTCCTTTTACATACTAAAAAAAGTATGACCTTGATTGTTGTCATATTGTGAAAGCAAAACGAAAGTGTATTCAGTATTCAGGATGGAGGATTCCGATTTGTATCAGATTTAAAAAAAAAATGGAAACTTGCGTTCAGATTCCAAGATTATAGAGGATCCTATTGACTAATTTTAAGACTCCCGAGGCGAAAATCAAGTTTTCCTCTACCAAGTACCACGTAAATTTAGCAGAGCCAGACCAGAGACCCAAATCTTGAAATCCAGAGGGCCGTGAAAACTTGAACTTTTTGTGAATATACTTTTGAAGTCTTGACTTTTTAACCAATAACCAGTTAACCACCCCCGCCCCCCTTTTATCTAAAAGAAAAAACAAAGAGAGACTAATGTCACTCTGAGTCAGAGACTTCGAGACTCCGAGATTCTGAGTCTGGGTCTCTCAGACCTCAGTCTGTAAGACCGGCCTAAAGGCTGAAGCTCATAAGTCATAATGTTATGGGGTACTAGTTAGAAGTTAACGTAAACGCATATTTATTAATTTTAAAACGTTATAACGGTTACAATGTGTTCAGAAGTGCCTACCTAAGTTCTTCTATAGGACTGGTTCGTATCGTGAACATAATATACACACATGTTTAGACCCGCAATTTGCACCTATGAGAACACAAATGACCGCATATGAAATAAAGGTTGAGCGTAAACGTATATTTATTCGATTTATAAAGGTTTTAACGGAAAACGGTTTGAGGTTAGGACTCACTCTGTAATACTGATTCTGATTTCTGTATAATATTTTACTCTGCATTTGCTATGTAAATAATATTTGATTTTGCATTTTTATATAAAAAATGTAGTATGTATGATCTTCCAAGAGTAAAGAATAGTGAATTCCGTATTCTTTAGAGTATATTTTGCAATTTGCTCTCAGACAGAAAACTGCAGAATTCTATGGCAAACTATATAGTATGTAGTTATGTACAGTAACTGTGTAAAATTGTATATCAATATAGAAAAAGAAAAAGAAAAGAGCAAATCCTTTAACCTTCGAAATTCGAAGTACTTCTTTGGTCTAAAATCCAAATATATAAATTATCAACTGGTTAAATACTGGAGAGTGTGGCGCTGGGCCCACTGGGGCCCTGGGGGCCATATTTTATTTTTATATGTACAGTATAGAGTATCAGTTATTACTGGGTGTCACTGACTCACTGGGCCAGTGAACATTCTAGCCCCAGTCCCCAGGGGCCAGGGCCCAGGGGCCAGGGTCACAGGCTCACAGGCTCACAGCCTCACAGGCCCCAACGTCAAGACTGCCCAGACTCCAGAGCCCCAGAGAGAGCCCAGACTCCCAGAGTGGCCTGACTCGCCTTCCCAATAAATTCCTATGGGCAGATTTTATATCTTTTAAGTTTAGGTTCGGGCCATGTGATCAATTTCACATAAACAAAGTGCACAGGAGATTCGTGATTCACAGGGCATTCTCAATTCTGCCAAAATTCAAAAATTGGAACATACTCTTGAAATCTATACATTTAATCAGGTTCTTCCTCTAAGAGCAACCGATGCTTTATTCTCTTCTACGGCTGAAAGCTTTTTTTACAAAGTTTTATCCGAGTCTGACAGAGTCTGCCAGACACTGTATGTATTTATTTGATTAAGAAAAAAATACATATACAACTTTCGTTCAAAATGGGAATCAGGGGCAGATTGGCGATTGCTGGAATGCTGGTTCCAAAGAATACAAACTTCCAGGTTCATGGATGCCAACTTTTGAACTTTAACCAGACGAGAGCCCATAGGGCACCAAGCCACCAATCACCATGATATCAGCCTGGCCCGTCAGGCTTCAGCCTCGGCCCTCGCCAGAGGAGTCCAGGACTCCCAGAGCGGCAGGGCCCCAGTCCCCAGACCACGGAGTCACAGACTCACTCCCACCAAGGGCCGAGGAACCGGGAGACCAAGAGCCGAATAAAAATCATCTTAAACCAATCAAACAGTTGCTGAATCAAGAGACAGTATTTTTTTTTAATATTTTTCTGAAAATTATACATGAGGGGTCATGACTCATGAGCGTCGTCACCTCACGGCTCGTGACCCGTCATGTCGAGCCTTCAAGGGCTAACCCACAATTTTGAAATTAAATAGTGATCAGTGATCACTGATCAGTCAGCCGCGAGGGGAACAGTGGGGGTTGGGGTCCTGGTACCTGGGGACTACATAAAATGTTTCATTTGTATTCGAATGTAAACACTATATAAATGGTATGTTTTTCTAATATTCAAACCATACTACAACAACAACTATTTACTTCAAACAGATACATCATGGTGAAAGTTAACGCTACCGAAGAAGAGATCAGTCTCCTGAATGAACGTACCTACAGGGTTGGTGCTCAAGCTGCGGCTACATCCACACTTGCAAGTAGCATAGGTGTGTTTTCTTTGAACAAATACAATCCATGGTTTAAAAACCTTCGCGCACCATTTAAAGCTGCTGCGTGGGTTGTTCCCATTGCTGTCGCAACTGTGGTGGCTGCAGAGGAGCAAGTCATCGCCATGGAACGGGAAAGACATGCTGTATACGATTCGGAAGGTGTTGGTATGCTTAAAATGCAACAAGCGAAGAAAGACGAAGAACAAGATTGGAAGACATGGTTGGCCGATAATAGATTCTCACTAGTAGCTGGGGCCTGGGTTTGTGGAGTTGCCGGTTCGCTTGCAGTTAACTATAGTAATCCATATCTATCACCGACAGTGAAGGCGTTTCATGCACGTGTACAGTCACAAGCCATAACTTTGTGCGCTTTGATGGCGGCAGGAGCTGTGGCACCCTTTGGATCAAAGAATCCGCATGATGCAGATGTTGATCTGTTCAAAAAGCGACTGGAGTTTGAAGAAAAGAAATGGGCAATATCTCACAACGGTAATATGCCAGCACCTGGCCACCACGCGTAATTTTAAGGTCATCTGACAAAGTGTCATAGCAGTCACACGAAATATTGTATATAATTAATTAAACGTTATTCAAGTATTACAAAGCACCTTATATCAAATTTGAGATAACCTTGTTTTTCTTCAGTCAATTGCCACCTCTGCTCCATTAACTAGATATAACGTGCAAATTCACTATTTGAAACTAAACTCCGAGTACCTAGTCAAAGCCACGGGCGTACTATCCTTCACTGGGTCAAATGCTGACCACCTCCATAGTATTCGTTTGTCTACTGGCTGGAATGCGAGAATTGATTGTGATTCAGGTGCTTCAAACAGTACTGAAATACAAAGGAGAGAGCTGCAGAAGGCGAAGGCACGTGGTGATGTCGATAAAATTATACCTATCCGACCCCATGGGTCCTGCTTGCCACATGTGACCACAGGAAGACTAATAAAGACATTACCGGAATGTCAGCGAATACAAGCCATTTAAACGTAGAGCTATGGACTAATACACTTTGACGCATAATCAAAGCTCTGCATGTGTTCATAAACGTGTTTCAGGCTTGCATGTGCATACATGTAGTGTAGTCGTATGAAGCACACAGTCATACTCGCAGCTTACTTTTACGATACTTTAAAAGGGACCATATCTATGTCAATATTCATCCACTTCTTATTGATGCTGAGACCTTTTGACAGCCGTAGACATTTTGCAGTAATTAAACACTGTTTTTGATCGTATCAGCGTAGCGTTGGTACAAATCACATGTGCCTGATGGAAACAACCTTTTAAATACTACTACTATAAACATATATTCATTGGTTTTTCCATTTTTCATCGAGGTCGACAAACTGGTACGACGCACGCTTAATTACATGGGCATTTCATATCCTCTCCTATTTAGTCTATAGAACAGGTCAACATGCTGTGGGCATTTCTATTATATATTTATATATATATATATATATATATATATATATATCGCCTTCTTGATAGAA